AAAAGCTTTCCAAGCAGTGCCTCGAGTCTAACGAGGCAGACAACCCCTGAATTCACTCTATAACTATGGGTAAGCAGAGGGTACTCCAGTGCATATTATGCATATAAAAAAAATGCAGCTAAACAATTTGTCTCAGCCACTGCCCTGACTGTCCCTCCTTGGGTCATGTATCTCACCCTCTTCCCCACCCCTTTGCTTTTTGGCAGGAGAAGGGTGGCCTGACAATACACTGTTTTTCACTAAGTCTATATATTAGGCAGCACATTTGGAGGCTGCTGTGATAAATGGTAGTTTGAAAAAAAAATAGCAGACTTGGAACATAACACATTTATGTTCTTGAGAAAAGAGAAAGCCTTAAAACTGAGAAATATTGAGAGAGACAGAGAGAGAGGCATCCTACATGTAAGTTAACACGCTGTAAACTGATAGATGCTGTAAATTATAGAAGCAATGCTATTAAGTTTTCTTTTATATACTAAGATAACCTTTAACTGTTTAACCTACTACATATTACAAATTAAACTAAGATAAACTCAGAAGGGTTTTCCCAGAAATTATAGGATTTTGTGAAGTGTGATTCTGGACAAATAGGCCCTAATGTTTTACAGGCTTTTACATCCTTCAATTGATTTTTAGAGAAACTGTAATTTTCCAGAGATCGAGTGAAGTTGTCTTTCACCCGTTAGTTATTAATAATTTGTAGAGAAGGAATTACTTCAACTTAAGCTTTTATTTGCATGAAAATAAAGTATAGTAGGTACCCAAAGACTCCCATTATCCAACTCAAATGTATTAGTTACTGCACAGAAAAGAAACAATCCTTATGTAAACAGCAGGTTCTCAAATAAGTTCTGGGATACTTTGTGAAAACTGTATAATGAAAAAAACCTTCAAGTATTTACAAGATTATTGCTTCAAGGTCTTATAAAACTTGGTATTTATCCTATTTTGATAAAAAGGGGGAAAAATTGAATACTGAAATTATCCAAAACATCTTTAGTCACTAAAACCCAACCAGAAAGAAGGAATCACAAACTTGAATTCAACTCAAGTTACAGAGGTGGGTGGATGAGAACAGGATGGGTTTCAATATGGACAAATGCAAGGTGCTGCACCTGGGGAGGAAGAACCAGCAGCATACCTACAGGCTGGGCAACTCCCTTCTCATCAGTGCAGGAAAAGGATCTTGGAGTCATTATTGATACCAAAATGAACATGGGCCGACAGCGTGAGGATGCGGTCAGGAAGGCCAACCATACCTTGTCATGCATCCACAGATGCATCACGAGTAGGTCGAAGGTGATTCTCCCCCTCTATTTGACACTGGTCAGGCTGCAGCTGGAGTACTGCGTCCAGTTCTGAGCGCTGCACTTCAGGAGGGATATGGACAACATAGAGAGGGTCCAGAGGAGGCCACTCGCATGGTCAGGGGGCAGCAGGACAGGCCCTACGAGGAGGCTATGAGACCTGAACCTGTTCAGCCTCCACACGAGAAGGCTGAGAGAGGATCTGCTGGCTGCCTACAAACTTGCCAAGGGGGACCAGCAGGCAATGGGAGAGTCCTTGTTCCCCCAAGCACTACCAGGAGAAACAAGGAATAATGGCCATAAGTTGACGGAGAGTAGGCCCAGGCTAGATATCAGCAGGCACTACTTCACAGTCAGAGCAGCTAGGAGCTGGAACCAACTTCCAAGGGAAGTGGTGCTCGCCCCTACCCTGGGGGTCTTCAAAAGGAGGCTAGACAGCCACCAAGCTGGGGTCATTTGACCCCAGCATCCTTTCCTGCCCAGGCAGGGGGTCGGCCTTGATGATCTGCTCAGGTCCCTTCCGACCCTACCTACTATGAAACTATGAAACTCCAAGTTTAGTTTAAAATAAAGTTAAAGTAAATGAGGACAGACAATCACAATGAGTATTTCTACTCTGTGTGTCAAAAGAGCTGACTTTTGGGACAAAAGGGAAAAGAGGCAGACAACAGGGCGTAGTCTTCAGCGGAACCTCAAAATATCTACCACCAGACTAACTGAAATTAAATAACCATTAAGTTTGCAGATGGCATGTGATTCACCGAATACATTTCTTTGAAAGCCTTGCTATTAGCTTACTGACAGCCACTAGCTTTTATTCACTGTAAGACGTTGCAGGTGTTTTAAGTGCAGAACTTGATGGTCAAAAGCAGCTCATTCAGAGCAGGAAACTGCTGACCACTAAGGTTAATTTAAATGTCCTTTTTCAGAAAACAGAGTTTACAGCTTGTCTCTTCAGCCACTATAGATATGTATTTCTGTTTTGTGACAACAGCCTGCATGTTCTGTTGCAATATTATTTCTGATTGCCATAAAGTACACTTCATCTCTTTCTCCCTTCCTGCACACACACATGCAGAGCTGGAGTTCCCAGTTGAAAATACTTACTTAGATAAAACTTAATTACCACCTTCAGCACTGATTATACCTCAGGAGTTTTTGACACTGCTGGGCAGTGCAGCTCCCCCCAGACCAATGCAGATAGCCCAGCTCAGTTTCCTTCCCCATATGCACACCAAAAAAGTGAAGAATTTCTAACTGGCTTTGGTGGGTCAGTCTCCCATGGGCCCCGTTGTGCTGTTTTGATTCCTTCTCTTCTGATGACTCCTGTTCCCTGACTGCAATCTGGACTCAAGCCCTGGCTCCTCAACCCTCTGCTGCCTGACTACAGAACAGAGCATGGAGCACGCACTGTAATCCTGTTAACTCCCATTGTACAGAAAACAGGAGAGCAAAAGGCAGCTACAACCAGGTCCCTTCAGGGAGACCCAGCATCTTCTTGTGTAGCAGCAGAAATACAGCAAATTCTGCTGCAAAAAAGCTGAATTCCACCATTCTGGAAAAATGGCAAGTTCTGCAGACAGAACAGCACAGATCACGGGAACCCAGGAACACAAGAAATGCCATTTACTGGATCAGACTGTAGGTCCATCTCGTCCAGTCCCCGGTGTCACATGGCGGCAGAAGCCAGACGGGAGAGTGAACTGGGTCTGACCAGGGTTTTTCCCCCACACTGTTTCCCTGGCACTTACAGCCTTCAGCATTTAAGGTCTAGGAAGTTCTGATTCAGAGGCCATGCCCCTCACTCCCACATAAAATAGCTCCTGATGCCCCTTTCTTTCCAAGAATGGGTCCAATCCCTTTCTGAATCTGGCTAAGCTCTCAGCTTCCACCACATCTGGTGGCCACGAGTTCCACACTTTAATTGCACACTGGGTGAAAAGGAATTTCCTGGCATTAGTTTTAAACTCGCTGCCTACTGCTTTCATGCTGGGACCCCTAGTTCTTGTATTGTGAGAGACAGTCAGTAATAAATCCCTAGGGACTTCCTCTTCACCAGTTAGTGTGTTGTAAACCCTTCTCCTGTCCTGACTCTTTTCTAAACTGATCAGGCCTGGCTCTTTTGTCTTTCCTCATATGGATGCCCCTCACCCTTGCGGCCCTTCTCTGCACCTTCTCTAGTTCTTCTCTCTCTTTTTGGAGGTGTGGGGACCAGAACTGGGCACAGGCTTCAAGGCATGGATGCACCATGGATTTATAAAAGGGCATCATGATACTCTCCATGTTTCTTATGATTCCCTTCTAAATAACCCCTAACATGTTTGTCTTTTTGATGACTGTTGAGCACTGATCTGATGTTTTTAGCAAACTGTCCACAGTGACTCCCAGATCTCCTTCCAGTAACAGCTGATGTACAGCCCAGGACAGCATAGGTAGCTCGGGTTATTTTTGCTCAGGTGCATCACTTTACGCTTCTCTACATTAAATTTAATCTGCCATTTAGTTGCCCATTTGCTCAACCGTGCCAGATCTTGCTGAAGTTCCTGAACTGGAAGGGATCTCCTGGGGCCCTGGCTGAGAGGCCTGGGACAGCAGACTAACTGTTTCAGGCATTGCGTGGATTCTGACAGAAACTACTGGTCTATGCAAACTTTATTCACATTGTAAAATCACCTCTGCACCCACACAGACAATTTCTTTTAAGTTAATAAAAATACAGGAAATTATTATACAGTTTCTGGTTCTGGAAACTGACCACATTCACCCTCTTTGCCACAGCTTTGCAATCAGAGCTTGCATGGAATGGCTTATCCACTATGGTCCCTACAAGAGTTTCAAAGTCAGCATGCAACTCCCACTTTCTGTAGATGCCAGCTGCTTTTCTTATACATCTAAAGATGTTACATCTGCTAACTTCAAAATACATTTTATTTGAATGATTCTGTCTTACTACAACTGTCCCCCCGCCCTCCAGGCTGCCCCAATCCCTTTTCCCCTGTTCTTCTCACTCCCCACCCCCATTGGAAGGTGAGGGGCTTTCCCCCCCCATTAAAAGGGTAAGAAAACCTCATTTCTAATCAAGTAAATCCAGTAGCTTCGTAAAACCCTGTTGTACAAATTAGAACTCTCTCGAACAACTGTGAAGGAAACATTCAAGATTGAATCAAATGTAAATAAATGTGCTGTCATTTCCCCAGGTCAGTCAGCCCTGCTACCTGTCCTAATCCTGTTCAGGGCTTTGCCAAGAAACAGCAGAGTGAAATGATCAAGCCTAAGGAGGTTTTCACAACTGCTATACAAAACCCTGGGCAACAGTGAAACTCAATCTTGCAAGGTTCATGTTGCTGCTCCTTGGAACAGCTCCAAACTGCTCCAGGGACAGACACCCACTGGGAATGAGGGCTTCATCTCCCTTTCAGCAGCTGCACATGCAGAGTTGGGGCTTCAGTTTTAATCAGATGCTTCCCAGCTGAATTTGGTCACAAAGAGCCCACGGACAGCACTCTGGAAGATACCCTAAGTGCCTGCTTCTGAACCTCACTGGTAGATCCCTCCTGCCATCACCCCCTTCCTCTTTACCTACCTCTAGGTATTAGAGATCAGGTATCATTTATCTGCTCTCAATATCAGCATGCATAAAACGGTTGTACATCACAGGTAATAACTTTTAGTTTAAAGAGGACATATCTGTACCTTTCGTAGAAATATTCTTTCAAATATGAAACCTCCACGGGCAGAGAAACATTTGGGTGACGGTTCCTGGAGCGCACTCAGCTTTAGAAAATATTTTCATTCAGTGTGAAGTATCTCTCCAACCTCCTATTCTGTGAAAAGGAAGAAAGAAAAAATTGTAACCACTTACCAAAAAAAAAAAAAGCCATTGAGAGACTACTGTCCCACGAAGAATTTCACATGCAAATTCACCCACCGGACAATGCCAGTGAGGCTAAAGAAAACTGGAATGCGAGACGTGTTCCCTAAAACCATTACTGCCAGCAGACTGGGGGCACTCCCTTTGACTGCAATACCTGCAGGTTTAATAATGCCACCAAACACAAACCCTTATTTTGGTTTGTGGCTGTGCAAGGTTTAACAGGCCCTCTTCTCGGCAGCCCCCAGACTCAGCTGTGAAATGCATGCTTCATTCAAGAACGCGGGGTTGTTTTCCTGACATCACTCGAAAAGAAATTTCTAAGTTGTCAAGGAAACCGAAAGGTCATTTTCCCTTGTTCCAAGAGTAACCGCACCAATAGAATACGTGCATTACACATTCAGGCTGGGGCCCCTATTACTTTAAAGGGACAGTAAGGCATTGAAGCCCAGAATTGAATTTACAATAGTCTGAAAAGGAATGATTCACTGGGGAGGGCTAAGAGAGAACAGTATTTGGCTGACAGCCTCTTCACTTTGCCATTAAAACCAGTATTTGAACCAGATGCTTCTCCTACACAAGTCAGATTCTTTACCATCCTGTGTTTATGACTATATTAAACTGAAGCATTAATAACGAACCCATAATATCAGTAATACTGGTCAGGTGTCTCCCTCTTCTGTACCACTCCTGTAAAACTGTGGATTAAAATTAGATAAATACTCTACATAGTTATCATAGAAATCATAGAAAAATGAGGGCTGGAAGGGAGCTCAGGAAGTCACATCTAGTCCAACCCCCTGCTCCAAAAAGGACCAGCCCTAACTAGATCATCCCAGCCAAAGCCTTGTCAACCTGGGTCTTCAAAACCTCCAGGGATGGAGACTCCACCGCTTCTCCAGGTAGCCTGGTTCCAGCGTCTACCCTCCTGATACAAAAACTTTTCCTAATATCCAACCTAAACTTCCCTTGCTGCAACTTGAGACCATTACAACTAGACCGTCTTTCAGACTAAAACTTCAGCAGTCATGGAAGTCATAAGATACTGCAATTTATGAAGCACTTGTGGAAAAAGCGCCATCTCCCTTCTTACCTTCTGCGTCATGAGTTAGTTATCTGCAATTTTTCATAACCCCCTCACCGGTCTCTGAATCACAGCTGCAAATTAGCCACTTTCAAAATGTTATGCTCTTACAATGCATCTGGACTTGATGTTTCTTTCATCTCTTATAAAATGCAGGACAGAGCGAATGAAGGTGACATCAATCTACTCCACACTCTCTGTTGTGTGAAGTTTTCTTGCTAGGGTGTACCAGCTCCAACTCACCGTGCTACCTCCAGGCCTTGTGCGAGATGGAGTGTTTCCGACAAGGGAAGGTGACCTTGTGCCACCAGTAAATGAGCATGCAATCTCTGCGATAGGGCTTTGGAGCTTGCTGAGAAATGCATCACGCTGCACACATGGGAGATCTCAGTATAACTGCCAAGATGGTCCTTACCATTTGGGCAGGACAGACCCAAAGGAGCTATGGAGGCCAGGAGTAAACTGCAACCATATCCAATGTCATTTTGGACTGCTCAACCCGACCGAGTCAGGAATAGCACCAACGAGCTCTCAGAGGAACCCTTCTACCACTTACTCTCTGTGGCCAGAAAACCTACCGCTATACACGGCTATTTCAGTGTTGATGGGAAATGAGAAAAAAAAATGACAAAGAGACAAAGCTTTGAGAGAAACAGAGGTGCAAGGCAAAGATTTTCTATTCCCAGAGCACCTCTGAGGACACTTTTCTGCCACACATCATGAGCTGAGTGCTCATACTGTATCCACAAGCATGTCTCAGGCCTTTTTGTCAGGCACATTCCTGCTTTTACAAGTACAGTATGAATATATATATTTTTTAAAACCTGACTTCTGGATTAAAAGCAGACCCTCCAAGGAGAACAGAGCTATATGGAGGTCCTCTGAAGAAGGGACCAAAGTGATCTGGTTAGAGAAAAATAAGCCCACTATGGGAGGAATCATGCCAGCTAACTGCTTAGGGGAACTTCTCCTGACTCTTGCTGCTGTGGCTTTCTATGGGATAAGGGGCAGGTCCCTCATATGCCACAGAGTAGGGAACTGGAGCTGTAGGGCCTTAACAAGGAAGGCAAGATAATGACCAAGAGTAAGGAAATAAAAGAGAAAGAGCTCGTTCTAGACTGGGGCTGCCTTTATAGTGAGATGCTTTCCTCCCTCCACGGGTCACTAAGTCTCACTATTTTAGTCTGACCAAAAATTATGACAATTTAAGTGGTGTATTAGCAGAAAGGAGAGACATTTGCACTTGCCCTCATGCAAACTTTTCCAGGCTTAGCAAAGAGAATATTATGAGTAGGGTCCTACCTACATCATAGGTGCACAGAGCCAAGTCTGAGGTCTTTTTATGGTGAGACCCCCCTCCCCCCCCACTCACGACTGACTGGCCAAGAGGCCCCAGTGGCCTTGCCCCTCACTGCTGATGGCCCAAGAAGCCAATCATTCAGACCACACCATTGCATCTGGCTTCTTAAAAGATAGTACCGAAACTCCTGTGCTTTCCTAACCAGCACCTTCACTGAGTCCCCTCACTCAAACCACATGCTCTATATGGCTGCATGGGACTGCTGCACTTTCTTTGAATTCCAGTAAGCGTTTTGGGGGGTCAATATCATGGGAAACACCATTTTTCATAGTAACAGCAGAACTGCCATTTTTTATGGTTTCCACAAAAATTGCAAAACCATGATTTAAACAGGTCCCTAATTAGGAGGCAAAAGTCAGCCAGGCAGCTAAGGAACAATGACTGTCCTACACCATAGGACAGGACAAGGTATCTTTTGTCTCAGAAAGAAGAATATTTTCTGAGGTCAAGGGTGTTCTAGCGACAGGCAGAGAAGAGCAGCTCAGAACATATAAAACTCTGCAGGGTTCCAGGTCAGCGCGGCACATTGGATTTTCTTCCAGAAAATTTGTAGATGTATATTCCATTTGCAAACTGCAAAAAAACCTCACAAGTATCAGCTCCCACCAACAGAGAGAATGACTTAGTCCAGACGTAAAGAGATGATGGCAAAGCCTGTGGGGAACTCAGCATCAAGGAGAAGCTGAACTAAGTTATGTGTTTTCAACATTAGGAGTTACACAGTGCTGATGGAGGTTTCCTTCACAGACATGCCATTATGCGGCCTAGGAAAAAAAACAAGGGTCCAAGCACACATTCAGTAAATTGGTGGCCTCATTTCTTTCAGCTGTATGGGAAAAATAATTGTGTCACTAACAAACTGTTGCTATGCTTTCCTAAATTATCTGCTTACATGAAATGTAAAAGGTATATAGTGATATATACAGAAAAATCTTGGGACAATATATATGTATATCATACACACACAATTCCCTGTCTGCAAAGAGAATCCAAACAGCCAAAAATTCACAGACCATAGCCCTTCCTTTGTGGTGCCAACTTAGGAAAAAAAACTACCAGAATCTATGACACTTTCTTTCATTAATATTTATTCTCTTCCTTGGCAAGTTACAGATCCTAATTATCTGCATTAACTAAAAGCAATGAAGCTTAGGGTGGCAGAAAGGCCTTTATGTACAGTTTTCTCCTCTTCTCTCTTCCTCCAACTTTTAGGACTGCTCTATTAAAAAATTGCAGGTGATAAATCAAACCCTGGGACATAGTAACTGCCACACTTGATCTATATATAATCCAGTTAATTCAGTGATTCTCAACCAGGGTGATGGGGCAGTCAGGGGTGTAGTGAGATCCTTTGAAGTTTGAACCGAAAGTGTGAAGAGATAAACCAGGTGTGGCAACTGCTGCACACCAGTGGCCAACTGCATCTCATGTATCCATGCCCCAGTGCTTAAAAATGACGGTGGGTGTGCTTGAATTAAAGCTTGTCAAACAAGCCATAGTCCAAGCAGCCCTGCCTCCATTTTTAAGTACAGGGACACCGATACAGGAGATGCAGCAGCATGTCAATTAGAGCAGCTCTTGAAGCCACTCTAATTAGAGTGCCACCCCCCTCCTCTCGCGCACGTGTAAAAGTGCCCCAAGATATTAGAGCTGATATTGCAAATTGTATTAAAAACCATCCTTGTGTCTGCATGCTTTACTATACGAACTTTAAAAAACAACAACAAAAAGGTTTGGCCATGATTTTCAATGTGTACACAGCAGCTTGTATTTGAAAAATAGTATGTGATCATGCAATTAAAAACTAATGTATTAGTGTATATGCATAAAGTGCAATTAAAACGGCTGTAATGTATATTGATCATTGAATGCTTAATAATGTAATCTTTGTTCTCAACAAAAAAGTTCTGACTGAGAGATTACTTTTCTACAATTGCTGAATCCATACCTAATCTTTCATTTCTTTTCATGATGTTCAAATCAAATACTATCAAGCACTCCATGGGATTAATCTGTAACCCTCCTGAACTGAAGCTGTTCAGCTACTGGACCACAAAGACCCTGCAAACCTTGTCAAATAAGTTTCTAACCACTTAGAACCACAGTGGCCCACCAGACATTTGTTGAATATTAGTAAGTTCATGTGAACTCCCAAGTATGCATTTGCTACAGAATTTTCTAACAATTTCAAAACCTCCTGCTGCTCATAACTGCCTATCCATAAAATCAAAGAATCACAGAAAACAAGGGTTGGGAGAGACCTCAGGAGGTCACATCTAGTCCAACTCCCCTGCTCCAAGCAGGACCAGCCCCAACTACATCATCCCAGCCAGGGCTTTGTCTACCTGGGTCTTCAAAACCTCCAAGGATGGAGACTGCACCACCTCTCTGGGGAGCCTGTTCCAATGCTTCACCACCCTCCTAGTGAGAAAGATTTTCCTAATATCCCTTGCTGCTACTTCCAAACACAAAAAAGAGCAAATATTGTCAAGGAGCATCTTGAGACT